CAAATGCATCCAATCTGCTCTTTTGACTGCCCTTGTGACAGTTGTTGTCATCACATTGCAGCTTTCCAATGCACTCAGCTGCTGAAATGTGTGGCCTTGCCCTTTGTCTGGACCACATCGAGGCCTCTGACAGGTTCGGTTCCTTTCAGACATCATCAGGGTGAGGCCCGTCTGCTGCCTCAGCCCGACGCCAGCCGCCTGCCGTGTGTGTGACCCAGCCTGCTGGGCGCCGGTGCCCCCCGCGTCGACCGGTGCCCGCAGCGCGGCCGGAGCCGCCGTCTTCAGTGCAGCGCGCCCGCCGGCCGGCGCACACGCCATGCCCGGCGCCGGCCGCCAGTGAGAGTGACGCGAGCAGCGCGCGCGCCGGCCGCGCCCGGTCATGGCCGCCGCAGAGCAGGAGGAGGCGGACGCCGGCGGCATCCGCACCTCCGAGGACATCATGCGCTCCACCATGACGGACGACCTGCGCTTCGCCGTGCTCATCGGCCTGGTGGAGGTCGGCCAGATGGAGGACAAGGAGATTGTCAACACCATCCTGCACCTGGTGAGTCAGGGGCCGAGCCTGAGCTCGTGACCGACGGGTCGAGGTCTGCTGGCGAAGTGGCTCGGCCGGCTGGTGTCAGCCGATGGGCCAGGCTGAGCAGCGCTGTGGCAGGCCGGAGTCACCAGCTGGTGTCAGCCGATGGACCAGGCTGAGGCAGCGCTGTGGCAGGCCGGCCGTCACCGGCTGGTGTCAGCCGATGGACCAGGCTGAGGCAGCGCTGGGGCAGGCCGGCCGTCACCGGCTGGTGTCAGCCGATGGACCAGGCTGAGGCAGCGCTGTGGCAGGCCGGCCGTCACCGCTGGTGTCAGCCGATGGACCAGGCTGAGGCAGCGCTGGGCAGGCCGGCCGTCACCGCTGGTGTCAGCCGATGGACCAGGCTGAGGCGCGCTGGGGCAGGCCGGCCGTCACCAGCGGTGTCAGCCGATGGGCCAGGCTGAGGCAGCGCTGGGGCAGGCCGCCGTCACCGCTGGTGTCAGCCGATGGGCCAGGCTGAGGCAGCGCTCGGGGCAGGCCGGCCGTCACCGATGGTGTTAGCCGATGGGCCAGGCTGAGGTAGCGTCGGGCAGGCCGGCCGTCACCAGATGGTGTTAGCTGATGGCCAGAGGCAGCGCTGGGGCAGGCTGGCGGTCACCAGCTGGGGTTAGCGGGGGGTAGCGTCGGATGGATCCGATTGATCGTCGCTCGGATCGGTTATCGTAGGCTGGGTCGGTTATTGGCGGCCTCACATTGACATGTGATGTCTAGTTGTACTATTTGTCAATGTTACCAGGTTGCCTTACCAAAATTTAGAAGAGTGGTTAATTTGGTAGGTACACCAGTGAGACAGAAATCAATTATTCCCCTGGTACTCTTCAAAAGCTTAAGCCCAAAACTTTCCACTTTTGCGACACGTTACGTGATTAGCGGGAATCTACGGGCAGCCGGAGAGGGTGGGAAGGGAAACCGATAGGTCCCGATGCTGGTTGTCTGTGCAATAAGTAATGGGAGATTGAGTAATGGAAGGCGTGCTTACGGGTGCTGCACCTGTTTAGTCGCGCAACCCATGATACCATTTTTTTGCGTCATTTTTCACACTTTCTGCTATCAGAGCCCAATTTATGCAGGTGCAAAATGGGCAGGCACGTTCTACCTCGTTAGCTTTTGCTATCTAAGCACGTAGGTTAATTGGGCTTTTGACATCCCTGCAGTAAGAACACACCCCGTCGTGAGACGCTTGATTCATGTCTCGTGAGCCACCTTAAGGTAGAATGTTTACCCCACTGGGTTTAACATCTTGCTCGCACGTTGAAATAGACATGAGTAGTGCCAGTTTCTCGTCGTTTGGCGGTTTATGAGAGCAAATCTAGGCCCAATACGCACCTCATTCAGGCAGATACGAGGGCACCCGCAATGCTATCCGCGTGGTATCTGGTGATCTCTGGATTGGAATTTCCCTCTGGCGAGCTGAAATGAAAAAGGTCAGCGGAGGCAACATCGTCAACCTGGCGGACGGACGATATCCAACAGTTGTTTGCAACTATTTGGGATGCTGGGACGTGCGGCTGGTTGTCTCTTGGATGGATTGCCCGGTTTTTATTGTGACGCCATAGTTGGGTGGCCATCCTTGATGGGAGACAAGTGGAATGACGTGAAGAACGTTACTGGATCAGCCTTCATGAATAGTTGCTTGGTCCAATGAGCCAGGTCAGAACAGAAATAGAAAAGAGAATCCTTGTCAAATGGAACTGGCGAGCCAAATGTTAAAAGCATGCGACAGTCGTCTTCTAGAAGATCATATGCCAAATGCCTTGGAGCGTTATGTTTTTGGCATAGCATATTAAAAAGGCTTGCTTAAATTGGGCAAGACATGGTCTTTGAGAACATGTTTGAAAGAGATGATCATTATCACTTATTCTTATGGCTTCATCCAAACGTGGGACATACTGATGACGGGCGCAACATAGCCTTCGCCGTCGGCGCGCAGCAAAGCTGCAATCATCATCATCATCACTATATCTGATGACCATGCGTTTGCGCAACATGCGTAACGCGAGGATGGATCCGTCACATGACATTCAAAGTCGTTGGCCGGCATTCCGAGTTTGAAGACCTGCAAAGCTGCGCTGATTGCTACGCCGCTGCTCGGGTGGCGCGGTGGATAGCAGTCCAGTCGCACCTCGTAGCGAATGGGAGACGCAGGCATTGAGAGTCGCATCACGACGTGGGTTCGATTCCCAGCTAAGGCGGATATTTCGCAGAGGATGAGGGGAAGACGTCATCGATGCAGGCTGTGCCATGGCGGGCAAGTACGGATTAGAAGTACCCGCTTACCTTTTGTTATTTCTGTTTGCGAAGGCGAACGCAACACATGTCGTTATGCGCCGTGTTATAAAGCGTCTGCGACTGTAGATATCATAATAGTGCTCATGAGTCAAGGCGCAGCCGGGTTTTGAATCCGGGGCTCCTGCGGGAGGCGAAGGCACCGACCACTCTGCCATCACGCTGCTCTTTGGATGATAGGTCTGGGGACTTTCAGGATTTCACCACTTTGTATCAGGTTCGTTGTCCCCGTGACGAGATATGACTACGGAGGGTTCTGGTCCCAGGCAGACCCTAGCAAATGTCTATTTGACGTCATTTCGAAACAGGAAATGCCGCTGCTTCTTTTTGAGTGGTCAGCGTGGCGAGTGCCGCGATAGTTTTGTATTTAGGGCAATTGCTCTAGCATATGCAAACTGACGAAATCAATCTGCTTCTCAAATTGCTTGAACCATATTGATGTTGGAGCCCGTGGCACTATGACACAGCCCGTAAGTGGCTAATATCCAGAGGGACAATGCCTCAAAGGTGCTGTTGACAGCCGGTAATTTAGGCGATACTGTTGGCTTTGGGTGCCGTAACAGCTCGTGCGGTTATGTAAGGGTTTGTGACGGCCTGCTGTCGTCTGTGCGACCGGGCTGTGATCAATATCGATGTCTGTCTTTGTATGTGCACTGCGGCCGGTGGTGGCCATATCCTCAGGCTGTGATCGGTACGTGTTTGTGTGTCCAGAGCGTGACTGGTGCCTTCCGTGTGTCGGCTCAGTGGCTGGTTTGAGGTCGTTTTTCTGCACTCTTAAACAGTGTGCTGGAGCGTTTATCGGGTGCAGGTCGTGTCTACGCTGTAGCTGGTGTTTTCCGTGCCGTGTTGCAGGATGACGTGTCGCTGGATATCTTTTTTTCATCGAGCGAAATATCCCGACATCTTAACCAAGATTTCGCACTGCTTATTGCCTCGATATACCACACATTACTGAGTTCAGATGTACTCTGTGATTTCAGATGCTTTGAGATAGCCAATTGTGGACCCGTTTCAGAATTTCGAAAAGACCTGAAACAAATGAAATATGATGGCTAGTATCTTTTTACTTCTGAATATTCGACTTTTACACTGCGACTTCGCGATTTCCTCTGTTTGACTAGGACACCGAACCAAAACTCAAACGGTTCTCTTATCTACCGCGTGTCCACGCTGTAACTAGTGCCTTTCGGTTTGTCTTTAGTGCGCTTTAAGTGTCTTGACATGTACCGGGATTGCGACGGGCTGGATGTCCAGTGTCGTTATCATGGCTTGTTCGCGGTTTCACTATAATGGGTTTGTGTTTGTGTGTCCCCGCTATAACTTGTGTCTGCCCGTGCGTTGCTAAGGAGCCCAACGATTGCGCATGCGCCCTTGCTTTAAGCGCCTTGCTATACGTGTCGTAGTGTACTGCAAACTATCAGCTCTGCCAATTATAAAGTGAGGACATTGTCAATTAGTAAACTGCAATCACATGGTTATACCTGCCGTAATTCATGTTGTTTGTCGTTCTTTTTCTCTGATCGTTGTGTCTTTGTATGATGGTGATTGGTTGTGAGCCCCTGTGTCATCAAGACCACTTGTATGTGTCCACGTTTCGTTGGTTATATGCTTATCTGTTAACTCACGCCCGGGTGGCCGGTTTTGAATACTCTTTGCTCGGGTTGGGGCCGATTTGAAGTGCCTGAGATCTCAGAAACTAAGGGAGCTAGAACGCCAAATTCGCGGCGTGTGTTAGCCTGTATGTAAACTCACTTGTGCCAAACTTTAAGGTTCTTAGGTCATGATTTTCAGGTCAGATAAGGCCAAACAAGGTCATGCCCAGAAGGTCATGGTAACTAAAATCATGCAAAACTGCTTTGAGTTTTGCATTTGAATAAGCGTCATAGATTACCCTAGGCAGTATGTTCCTAAAAACAAAATGTTGACGCAGGCCATTTTAGGGTCAGTGGCCTATTCCGATCCTTAAAAAGTCCACGGAAGATGTGAAATGCGGTTCCTGTTATTAGTAAATTCAGAATGAGCATCAGAAACCTAAACCATGCGGCAAGAACTAGAGTACTGAAACGATCCTGGTTTGAATTTAGTCTGACCTTCATACCTGACCCTAGGTCAATGGAAGTGATCATTCAACTGTAGTGTTGCCCAAAAAGTATCTCGGAGATGTATGGCTTCATCTAACACTTCGTTGTCGCATCGGATTTAGCGATTCCTTGGACATCGCCTTCGCTGAATCCATGGCGTGGGTTTGACCTTTCGTAGGTCAGCGACGTTACAAGGCGCATCTAAATTTTTGTACCAAACTATGCGCAACTCAGTTGTCTACAGGTGTGCAAAAATTGGCGCGGCTACACCGCACCGTTCGGAAAATATGCCAGAGAACCTTTTGGGGGGGGGGGGGTCAATTACCCCCCCCCCCTCCGAGCGCGTGTTAATGGGACTGCAGGCAGGAATCTGTCTGTGTGCGCCTCCCAAGACCTGGTGCATGTCCATGACTGATGTGAAACCGTAACTTGGCTGTGCGCTTCTGTGTTCTACCTGTGTAGCTCACTGACGACTGCGATGTGTCCATGCTCAGCCGTCGTCTACCTGTGTAGCTCACTGACGACTGCGATGTGTCCGTATTCAGCCGTCGTTCTTCCTGTGTACCTCCAGACGGCTGCGATGTGTCCATATTCCAGCCGTCGTCCACCTGTTTACCCTCGCTGACGACTGCGATGTGCCCGTATTCAGCCGTCGTCCACCTGTGTACCTCCTGATGGCTGCGTTGTGTTCTTGTGTCCGCTGTGACCATGGCTGTGCGCCTCCGCATGCCTGCGTGATGTCCGATGTCTGCACAGGCACCGCTGTCCCACGTGACCTGCAGCCTCCCCCGCGGTGCGCGCACACCGCCCTGCCACTGACGCGCGCCTTGCCCTTGCAGCTGGTGGGTGGTGAGTTCGACATGGAGCTCAACTTCGTGGTGCAGGACGCCGGCAACATCCTGCACATGCTGGAGGTGCTGGACCACTGTTCGGTGATGAAGCTGCAGGTGAGTGTCGGCGGGAAGGCTCGGGGCGGGGGGCGAGGGCCCCGGGCAGCGAACCGGGCGGACCGGGCCGGACCGGGCCACGGCTCCCGTGGGTCTCTGGATCCTGTAGGCCTGGTCGTTGAAGGCTGGCTGGCGCCTGGCTCTCGGCGTGCGATGCCCGATTGACGGTCAGGTACATATCTGAAAATGTGACGAAGAGTTCAGCACGTGCAGCCGGTGGCATTGGGTACTTTTCTCAGTTCTGCGCCAAAACGGCGTGGATGTGGGCCCCTGTTTTTTGGTTTTTGGGACACTTGCAAGCAGGTTTGTATCTCAGTTATTGTTTTTTGACTGACTAGCAAGAGGCCGTGATCAATTTAGTGACTAGTACGTAAATTGTGCGTCAGAGTTGTTAGAGTAATCAGTTAGTGTGGCGCTATAACCGACAAGTCTTGTCTGGCGGCCTGCTTTAGCGGGTCATTCGCTCTTGTCGCTGCAAATTAGCTGGATGCCGTGAACGCAGGCGACTGTTTTACGTTGTCGTTCAGTGGTTGTCCGCCGACTGACCGGGGTTTATTTTCTTCCGATGGCATCTTTGCTCCCGGAGGACGGTTGCAGATACGTGTGTTGTGTCCATCTTGTGGCCATTCCGTCACCCTCCGGTCGTGCGCTGTCCCCCGCGCCATCGGGATCGCCTCGCCGAACTGCGTCACTTCCATCACGGCGCCTTGAGCTGGGATTCCAACATGGCGCCGGCCGTCTCGTGCGTGCAGGCGGAGATCTGGAGCGTGTTCACCTGCATCCTGCGAAAGTCCATGCGGAACATGCAGGCCTGCGTGGAGGTCGGCCTCATCGAGCACGTGCTGCGGCGGCTGCCCAAGGCCGACACCGTCGTGGCGGGTACGCGACTGCCGCCCGCCCCCGGGGCGCGCTCCCGCTCGCTGCACTCTCAGCACTCGTCTTATCTTGTTTGCATGTTTGAATACGTGATCAAGGACAGGACATTGTCACAGGAGAGTCGCGGCGCGTTGTGTCATCGGCAGGGCGGTGTTGTTTCACAGGTTGGCGTTTTGGGTTTTGGTGTGTGGGAGGGACGGGGGGGGGGGGGGGGGATTTCTGGGCGTTCAGGTAGTGATTTTGAAATTTGGGATGGAACACTCTCGTTGCGTTAAGTCGCGTAGGTATGCCAGTGACATTCTAAAAGTGCTAGACGATGGAATCTGTGTGGCGGGGTGGGGCTCCTGGATGGGAGAGCAAAATTTCTCAGTCACGAAAGCGTAGAAATCTTAATTTTATCTATATTTCTTCATTATCTAAATAAAATGATTAGCTAAAGAAACTTTTATCTATAAAATAAATCTGAAGTTTGGGATGGTTAAAAGGCATACCAAATATGGGACATTTTACTGTCTGAACTCACGGAGCGGTCGTACGGTAGTACCATGCGGCAGTTAACCAGAAGTTGTGTAAGCTACCGTCTGGCAAGGAAGCTGGGGATAAAATCCGGTGGATTTTGACAGTCCAACAGCAGACCGCCCTTTCTACGCTGCGTTTGAGTCGTGTCCCATCATTAGGCTTCTCCATCTGATGTGATTTAACCATATGCTCGCCATGCGGTGTGGTAGCTGGCTATCCGACCGCCTGCTCACAATCTCATGGTTATCAGTCGTGTGCAGCCAGCGGAAGACGGGCAGTGCGCCACTGTCGAGCTATGCACTGGCGGTGCACCACCGCAACGCCCAGTAGTCGGGGCCGCCGCGTGTCCCGGAGCTCCCCGCCTGACCCCGGAGCGCGCCGCCTGATCCCGGAGCGCGCCGCCTGACCCGGGAGCGCGCCCGCCTGACCCCGGAGCGCGCCGCTTGACCCCGGAGCATGCCGCCTGACCCCGGAGCATGCCGCTATGACCCTGAGCGTTGCAGCCTCACCCCGGAGGCGCGCCGCCGGACCCCGGAGCGCGCCGTCCGGAGGCCGCCTTGGAAGCGCTGCAAGCTCGCCACTGCCTTCGTGTTGTCCGTGTAATGGCACTAGCCGCGCGTGATAGAGCAGGCCGTGCTCGGCGCCCGTTTGCGCCGACGGTCGGCGGCCCGCTGCCGCCGCTGATGGCGGGCACGCAGTGGCGTCTTGGGGGCGTTTGTGCGTTCTCGCGCTGGGGGTAGTGTGCCGGACGACGACCCTTCCGGCCGGCCGCGGACGGCGCGGGGATCGTCAGGCCGCGGGCCAGGTCACGGAGTACTGCCTCCCGGATGGGCCGTGAGCACGCCATGACGTGGCACGGAAATGGGAGTGTTCGTGGTTATCCTGGCACCATGAGGGGTGTTTTAACCCTCGTTCGGTTGTGGGTTGGGCTCGGGATCGTCTAAAAAATGGATTGAATTTAGTACAGTCGAGACTCATAGCTTTGAATATACGTTAGGATGTTTAGCACAGTCCAGACTCGTGGCCTAGAACATGTGTCAATATGTTTGCCCCTGAAGTCGGCCCTTTTGGAGCTGACTCCGGATGTGAGCACAACATCTGCTTTAGTTGGAATCAGGCTAGACTCGAACCTTGCCACCCCCGGTTTTAAGCCGAAGCGGGGCTCCTTGATTCAGTGTCGGCTTTGTCGGAAGTCGTAGTGGTTCAAACTGGATGGGCTGTGGGCGAACGTTGGTCCCGCGCCGTTGCATGTCGCGTGTCGTCTGCGAGGGGGGCCGCGTAACGTCCGCCATCCCGCGCGCCGCAGACCTGCTGTGGGAGCTGCTGGGCACCCTGGCCACCTACAACGTCACCGTCAGCCAGCTGAAGGTGCTGGTGGGCAGCATGAAGGCCGGCACGGGCCCTGGGTGAGTGGGCAGCCCCCGGCGCGGCGCGGCTGCCGCCAGCGCCGGGCGGCCGGGACCGGCGGAGCGTCCGGGCGACTCTGCACTACTCGGCGCCCAGAGCATGCGCCAGGCGTCGCCTGCACCGCCATGTTGGAGTTTACTTTTTACTTACCCGTGGATTGACCCTGAACGAGTCTGAGTCGGTGGAGGGCTAAGGATGTATGTCTGTGGTAGTGAACCATTTGTATGTACTATGCATAGTCAGATGGACGAGACTCCGCCAGAAATATAGGTGGAGACAGCCTGTACTAATCGAGTGTGGGGGGGGGGGGGGGGGGGGCGAAGCCGCTCCTGCCACGTTTAAAGGTTAGGGTAAACTTGTCGGCGAACGGAAACTCCACTGCCTTCATGCTGGTGGTGGGTGTGCGCGTCTCAAGCTCTGTTTCGCGTGTAGGACACCCGTCCTGAAATACACGGAGCCCTAAGGCACGCTTGGAAGCCGTGCTGCCTGCATTTCTTCAACAAAGTATCTGGACGGAGTACGTTGAAACGCTCCCAAAGGCTGTCAGAGGCATTCGATTGGTTTGAAAAGGTCACGAAGTGCTACCGCTTTGGACGGACGATATGGACTGGTCCCATGAGGTGGAAGAAGTTTGGCTCGTCGGCTGTCAATTCAGTAGAGCAATTATCGCCGATAATTTTTTCCCCAGGCCGTCAGTTGAGTCTTAGCTGGGCAGTTCTGGGAGTAAAGGCTTATACTGTTGCCGGGTCTCTCCGAAACAAATGCGAAAGCGGATGACGTGCAGTTTGTGCGTGTTGCGTCTAAGCTAGTTCGAAAAACGTCGATCTCCAGGTCTGCAAGAGGACAGTCACAAGTGCTCAGATGCTCAGTGGCAGACAACTCACTTTGGTCATGTGCGGATCCTAATGTTTTAGTTCAACCCCGGGTCAGGCGCGGTGGTGGTTTAGTGAGGGGCGGAGGGGGGGGGGGAGGGGCGGCAAGGTGCACTGCAGCAGCGGCGGGATGACTCAGACTCAGCTGAGAGCCCCCCCCCCCCCCCCCGTCCGGTGCCGGCGGGCGGTCCGGGCGCAGCGGCGCCGAGGCCGGTTGCAGCCGGGGGCCGGCCCGCGGCCCGCGTGGACCGGCCGGCAGCGGGGAACGGCGCTGGAGCTGGCGCGACCAGCAGCGGCGATGAGGCCGGTACAGCCGGGGCCGGCAGCGGCCGCGTGGCCGGCCGGCAGCGGGGCCACGGCGCTGGAGCTGGCGCCGACCAGCAGCGGCGGCGCGCCCAGTGGGCGTGGCCGGAGATGAGCGAATTCATCAGCGGACAGGCACGGACTTCGTGTACACCAGCGATAAGACCCGCTAGCGCTGCAATGAATTTTGATTAAGTCGGAGAGGCGTCTGGTTCTTAAATACTGGCAGCTGTTGTCGTGAAATCGTAGCTCCCAGGGTGTATATTACACCCCGTGACCTGCGATTTCACGATTAACAGCTACGCGTTTTCAGAAATTTCGACGGGTATTTGAAACGTGATCGGTCTTTGTCCCGGCAGCATCCAGCACATCAGCTTTCAGTCCAAAGGGAGCGAGCCGAAGGCGTGGAAATCAGGGCCGCGGAGTGCGGCAGAGGCCCACTTATAAAAGCCACGCAGCTGTGACAGCCAGCCTCAGGTCTGGCCTCCAGAGATGCCAGACCACCGCGGAGCCAGATGGAAGGCATTCATTACAAATGGGTTCGCTGGCGGCTGTGACAACGTCAGTAATGGGAAACGAAGCCACGACGGATGGGCGCGCGTCCGACGATGAGGCGTGTGGTCTGTCGAGGACCGGACCGGACCGGAACGGAACGGGACGGAACGGAACTACGCACAGTGCCGTGCCAGACCTGGACTTGGATCTGGACCTGGCCCTGGACCTGGTTCTGGACCCGGACCCGGACCCGGACCCGGACCCGGACCCGGACCCGGACTCGGACCCACACCCAGATACAGACCCGGACCCGGACCCGCACCCGGACCCAACCCAGATGCAGACCCGGACCCGGACTCGGACCCGGACCCGGACCGGACCCGAACCCAACCCAGATGCAGATGCGGACCCGGATCCGGACCCGGACCGGACCCGGACCCGGACCCGGACTCGGACTCGGACTCGGACCTGAACCTGAACCTCGGGACCTGGACCTGGACCTGAATCTGAATCTGAACCTGGACCTGGACCTGAACTCCGAAAAGGCCCTAATGTGAATAGCCCGGCCGCGGCGTCCTTATCGCTCAGAGAAGCGAACACGGGGTCAGCGGGTCTCCCTTAGACGGCATATTGCTGGCTGGCTTTTAGCGGATAAAGATCTGGTCAGCATTAGCTCGAATTATGTTATTTCGCGGCCTATCACCGAAGTTACCTGTCCTCTGAGAAGGAGGCGCCTTTGAATCGTGGAAATATGCTTCTGCGCATGGCCACTGCGAATTGCATCCTCTATGCCGCCTCTGCCACATCGAAACATTCGGGTCGAGACCGAACGCCCGTGATCGGTCGCGCTCCGCTGGCGGGTCGGGCTCCACCGGTGGCCCAGGCGTCGGGCGGGCTGCACTCTTGGCTGGCGGCTCAGTGTCACCCGCTGACCGTAGCGTCGTCGCCGGTGTGAAGGTGAGGCTGACGTGAAGGCTGGTGGCGTCGGCGGCGCTGCGCGCGGGCCGTACGTGGCCCGACCTGCGGCCGCCGGGGAGGAGCCCCGGAGCTCGCGCCCGGCCTGCTCGCCGCGTAGGGTCAGGGCGCCCGGTCCGGACGGTGGCTCGCTGTGGACTTGTCAGATCCCGGACTCGAACATCGACCGTACCGCGCTCACGTCGAAAATAGGAGCTGCCAGGCGACGGAGTCTTTGGCTTAGCGCCTAGACTGCCAAGAGTTTGGCGGAAACTTGTGTAGCCAATGTTATGGTACTGGACTGTTTATGGCGTTGGAATATGTCGCAGCAGTCATTAAATTCCCTGCTGAGTTCTGCTTTACAGCTTGAAGTGTGGGATCTGGGTGAAAGGGAGCGCAATGAGCATGCTTGCTGCGCTGCATTTTGTTGGCCTGAGATTGCACGCGTTGGTCGCACCGTTTGCCGCCACGAAGGCTGCGTACGACTGTGGATGCGTCCCAAGGGAGTCAATCAGGGACGCAGCCAGCACGAGACCAGCGGAACAGGCAGGCTGCTCGCACAGTCCTGTTGGGAGTGTTGCGTTGCTGAATGCTGGCAAGACATTACTCCTCCATTCTGGTTTTGTGTCCACTTGGTTATTGTTTAAAACAGTAGTTCGTTCTGTTAAAAAACGACAACTCGAAAAGTAACAAAACGCAGCCGCGCATGATAACCCAGCCTAGTGAGAGGTGACTGTAGCGTAATGGTTGAGCTGCACGTCCGAGAAACCGGAGGAAAGGATCCTGCTCCCCGCTGCGCCCGCTCTCCTGCCACGGCGAGGGGCCAGGTTGACGTCATGTCAGCGTCAGCGCTGACCGCATCACAAAGCTCCAGTGACAACAGCAACAAGCCTGCCCGGCAACGGGCGCGAGGTGCAAGCCTGTTCCTCAGCTGACGCGTCTGTTCGATACGGACGCGCCTCACGCATCTCCCCTGCGGGTCGCTGCACTGGCCTCGCACTGCCCCTGCGCCCCAGAGCCCCGGAGCGGAGGGTTAGCTCCCGGCTCCGCCCCGCCCCAGGACGTGCGGAGGCGGCGCGGAACTGCCGGCTCGCCCGCGTTAATCGCGCGAACGCAATCCGGCGGAAAGCGCGCGTCACGGTCTCGGTCGCGCCAAAGCTGGGCGGGGGCGCGCGGCCCGCAGGCGGCCGGGCTCGACGGCGAGCAGGGCCGCGCGGCCGGCCTCTCCTCGGACGGCACTGTAATGGGGAGGGGAGGAAGGGAGGCCGGGTCGCCCAGGGTCGACCCGTCTCTAAGGCCTCGCGATAACGGGCGATTGGTGAGGTTTGTCAGGCAGGCTTGTTGGCCCGGCCTGTGGTCAGTGACGTGCCCGGCCGGCCATCCTCACCCATGGACGGGTGGTTTGTGTGTGGGTGGGTGATCGATTGGTCCGCTGGTGGGTGCGCCCCTCCCCCGGATGGACGGTTTGCCGGCCACGGCCGGCCGGCGATCGGTCGTCCCGGACGACCGGGCTCCCCGGGGCGCCGTGACCCTCGCTCTGAGAGCGTAATTCGCCGCACCCATGGCGATTGGCTGATCAATATTCGATCGGGTTGCAACGCAGTCGAGGCCCAGCCAATGATCACAAATCTGCCTGCCGGTGCGGCTCCGACATATCAATCCAGCGGGGCTTTTCATAACGGTCACCGGGGTCTGCCGCGTGACAGGCGGAAGCTGCAGCACGTCGTGGGCATTTGGAACGGCGTTGTTAGTTATTTGTGTCGTGCCTGTCATGGAAGGGGTCGGGGTCTCTGTCAACATACATGGCCTTCGGCTCTATCGAGCCGTAATGGAACGCGCCTGCGGACGCGATGTCAAACAGCGCAGCTTATCGCGAACACACAATGCGTTTATGATGGAGCCAGCCTCTCTACCAGAAGTTCGTAAATGTTGTTACATGTCAGCTCTCGCTCACGGGCCATACCTGGCCTACTCCAAACCGTAACGCCACTGAAAAATAGATAAACGGAGGGCGGCTGTGGGCGCCTGCTGGATTTCAGATCTCGCTGCAAGGCGCTCTCGTCGCTTGAATAATGCTTGGGTAAATAGCCCGGTAAGGACCATGTTGGCACCCGAGATGGCGGCCAAGATGGCCCGTGCTCCTCGACGTAACCTGAGGGGTGCACAACGATCGTCCTGTCCCGCCCTGACGTGTATGGTGCGGCTGCCACGTTAGTCCGCCTCCCTGCCCCCTGCACCAGTCCGCAGCGCTGTTGGACCACGTTCAGCACCCTCCCGGCTTGCCAAGGTGCTGGTCGGTCGTGGCGGTATAGCCGCGTTTATCCTACTGTCTTTGGTATCCTACTGGGCAGTCTGTTCCCGTGCCGTGCGCCCGTCCGGGTCATGTTCTGCCCCGTGACCGCCGTCTGTGCGCGCCGTTGCAGCCGCGCCACTCCAGCAAGCTGCTGACGGTACTGCGCCAGATGCCGCAGCGCAGCAGCCCGGACACCTTCTTCATGTTCCCCGGCAAAACCAACTCGGTGAGTTGTCTCCCCGGCGAGGACGGCCCGATGACTTTCTCTCTTTTTTCAACTTCGCCCTTCGGCGGACCCGGTCAGCGAGTTTAGTTGAGCTTATTGCGGATCTCGGGAGAGTAAAGTCGGCTTCCTCGCCATCTGGTGAGCCCGGTGAACCTTGTCCGTTGAATTCGGTGAGCTCGGTGACCACCTGAATCAACTCCGCAACAGCTTGGTCCCCAAATGGAGCGGCGCGGCGGTCGTTTGGGAGTGGGCATGCCAACGCTTCCCTTTGCGGCTCTCGGTGGGGCCGTTTCGGGGAACACTTTTCCACTCCCCCGACACGGCCGGCGCGGCGCGGCCTCCATGCGGATCGCAGTCGCCACCGGCGCTGTCTGTGGCGGACGGCACCAGGCCAGCGTCAGCAACCGCCTGATGTGCTCGTCCCCGCGCTTTTGTCGGCAACGTCCGCGAGCTGGGTCGGCCGACGGCACGGCCGCCGCTGGGAAATGTCCGACGGCAGCTGCGGAAATACGGACGGCCGTTTTTGCCGGCCTGGCGCCGGTCGCCGGCGAGCGCTCCGCCCTCGTTTCGGTGTGGCGCGGCGTGGCGGCCGCCGCCGACGGGGCGGTGGCGCGGGCTGGCGACCTGGCGGCGCGCCCGTCGATGACCCGTGACCCCGCTGCCGCAGGCGATCGTGATCCCGCCGCTGGCGCGGTGGCCGTACGAAAGCGGCTGGACGTTCGCCTGCTGGTTCCGACTGGACCCCATCAACTCGGTCAACATTGAGCGTGAGAAGCCCTACCTGTACAGCTTCAAGACCAGCAAGGGCATCGGCTACTCGGCCCACTTCGTCGGCTCCTGTCTGGTGCTCACCGCCATGAAGATCAAGGGCAAGGGGTTCCAGCACTGCGTGAAGTACGAGTTCCAGCCGCGTAAGGTACGTATTGCGTCTGTGCGTCCTCAAAGAGCTGTTGGTGTATCGCTGCTGGCGCAGTGCTGCTCGTGATGTCGGTGCTTCGGTCGGTTTTGATGCTTGCCTTGACGTCGTTTGGGTGCTGCCGGCTTCTCACCACCGCGAGGCCCACGTCGAGGTTCACGTCCTCGAGCCTTCCCCGAATCCCCGCTGCTGACTGAGGTTCGGAAGCCCGGCACCGTGCTGCTACGGCACGTCGCCGCGCGGCGTGACTGCCGGGTGGCGGTACCCCGCGCCGCTGGTGCTGCGGCTGGCGCTGGCGCTGCGGCTGGCGCTGGCGCTGGCGCCGCGGCCCGCCTGCGCGCCGACACGTGCTCTGACGGCCGTGATCCGGAGACGCCCGCCGCCGGCCGGTCACGCAATGTCTCGGAGCGCGGTGATCGGTGGTGTGTGTGTGTGTGTGTGTGTGTGTGTGTGTGTGTGTGTTGTGTGTGTGTGTGTGTGTGTGTGTGTGTGTGTGTGTGTGTGTGTGTGTGTGTGTGTGTGTGTGTGTGTGTGTGTGTGTGTGTGTGTGTGTGTGTGTGTGTGTGCGCGCGCGCGCGCGTGCGTGCGTGCGTGCGTGCGTGCGTGCGTGCGTGCGTGCGTGCGTGCGTGCGTGCGTGCGCGCGTGCGTGTGTGTGTTAGCTGCGGATGATGTGGTGCCGAGTCACCCCCAGGAAACCGCAGGCCCGTTGCTGGTTAAGCGCGGATACGGTTACGGGCTGGGGCTGGGCGGCGGGGCTGACTGGCGTCCAATCTCCGTGTGTGTACTGTGGTGAGATCGTGTGCGGCAGCGGCGCGGAGCACAGGCGGCCGGCGCTTGGTAAACAGAAGGAAGCGTGTCGCAAATGGCGTCATTCAGTTGATCAATGGGCTGATTTCGGACTCTAACTGAAGCGGTAAACAGCTTGCGGTTTGCGGTGCGGCATCCGGACGGGTTGATTGACGAAGTATTTACTATTTCGTCGCTTGGCGGCTGGGTCAAGCGTTCGCTTTTCCGTCAGAGTAGTCGGTGTCTCTGGGCCAGCGTGGCACAGCGCTGTTCTGACACATTGCGATAGTCCTTTGTGGTCCATTGAAGTTGTGCACTCAAAGAGCATTGACCATCATGACGTTCAGTTTGTAACGTTATATCGTACGTGTTTGTGCTCTGTGGACTGCCATTGCAATTCGGAGCTCGCGCGGAGGTGGGCGCCATTTGCGGCCCACTAACGGGAGTGCGAGTGGCGCCCCCCGCCCCCGCCCCCGCCCCCGCCGGTCCGCCTCAGCAGGGTGCCGTCGTCACCGTCTCAGCGACCAAGGCACGCCCGACTGACCGCCGCCGGCGCGTTGCAGTGGTACATGATCGCCATCGTGTACATCTACAACCGGTGGAGCAAGAGCGAGATCAAGGTGTTCGTCAACGGCCAGCTGGCGTCCAGCACCGAGATGGCCTGGTTCGTGTCGCCCGGGAGCGAGGTCAGTACCCAGAGGGGCACGCTCAGGTCCTTGACATGGGGCGGAGGGAGCGACGACTGAAACTCAGAGCAGCCAATGAGGGGCACGGTCGTCGTGACGTCATTGCAGATTGACGCACCGGTGCACGGCGGTGGTGCAAATGCACCAACTGCATGCACCGTGCGCCGCCGTACGACCAGGTCACAAGCCGTCATCGGTGCCCACCGTGCGTCGGTGTTCGGAAATGTGGCCATGTCGTCAGTGATCCACCGTATAGAGAAACGAGCACGCAGCAGTTTAGTCCATTTGCCCGTGCCGGAGCGATGATTAGCGATATGGACCGCGGCGCAAACATCGACCGCAGTCCACACGCCCATAAAACCCGATTACTTCTGCGATGTTGAGCGCCATCTCCTCGTGTGTTGTGCGAGGATTCGCCGGCTGCCAAATCATCGGTCACGTGACGGCGGCCGCGCGGTCGTTGCGGCTAAACTGCCGCGGCCTCACTCGTCTCGGCCGGGGCATCCCCTGGCACCGCCGTGCCAAAGGGCAGAGAACAGAGCACGCCAGGCCCCGCACTTCGGATGTAGAACGCCGGGCATTGGACCCGGGGGTGTACGCGGGGATGACGTCGGCGAGGGGGACACAGTGCAAAACAACGAATCGCTGAATGCTGAGTCTGGCTTGCCGCAGGCGTGCGTATTTGTATTTACCTAAAATTGTGAACTGTCAGCCTTAAGTCACCTTTGAATTTATACACGCTATAATTTAGTAGGGGGCGGGGCGCGTGCCCCCGATGACGACTCTGTCCGTAAGTTCCTGCTTGGACTTAAGAGTCCCAGAATTCAGACAGTTGCTCTTGCATTTCCCTATAGATTATCCACGACAATCCTGCGTGTTGCCACGTTAACAATGCCCAGCATGGCACACTGAGCACCCGCTCGGGCCCCACTCACGCCGATAAGGATAAGATGCAACAGCACAGCACAGCACAGCACAGCACAGCACAGCACAGCGCAGCACACACAGCACAGCACAGCACAGCACAGAACAGAACAGCACAGCACAGCACAGCACAGCACAGAACAGAACAGAACAGGGCAGTGCAGGACAGGGCAGGCGTGGACTCAGGACACTGAGAAAACGAGGTGTGCGCGATGCGGATGCAGCGAGCGAGCGGGCCGGACAGGCGCGTGAAACCAGTCGCACTATCTGTACAGACGCGATACACTGGACCATTGTCGAAGCGGCCCACTGTACCGTTTCTGTGCCATGTGTTGCCCGTCCTGCCCCAGTGCAGACACTAGGAATTGCACAGAGCTGGATCACAGCATGCACCGGCTGTCGCGGGTGATTGCTGGCCTCGGTCACGGCTGGAGGGTACTGCGGGCCGTGCCTAGCGGCGGATCGGCTGCGCTCGAGGCTGCGGGCGTCGGCGGCTCAGAGTCGGCTCGGCCAGCGGCGACGCGGGCGAGCCGGGCCGACCGCGGCCGGCCGGCTCACGTGCCGGCGACAGCACGTGCTGTCGCCAGCACGCCATCGGCGCTTCTAATGGATTGCGGCCGGCCCCGGCACCCACCAGCCGGCGGCACTGGTGGCGGCGGCGGCGGCGGCGGGTGACGCGACGAGAGGCGCTGCCGCCGGCGGCGGGCCCGCCCAGCGTGGCCGCTATCGATTCGAGCGTCGGGCGCGGGGCGGCCGCCCGGTCCGCTTCCGTTGTTGTGGAGGCGCCGACTGGGCCGCTGTCCCCCGTGTCCGGGTGGAACGCGTGGAGAATGCGGATCGGGTGGAGTCGGCTGGCGGCAGAAGGGACGCGGGAGGGGCGGAGAGGGGAGAGAGGTCGCGGGAGGGCCCTCAGGGGGCGGCGAGGAGTGGCCCAACGGGAGCGGATGAGTTCCCCCGGAGTGATGGATGCCGCGCAAGGGTCCCTGCACGCTCAGGGCGGGCGGGCCGAGTGGAATCGGCGAGGCTTCAACGCCGGCTAGTGGCGTAAAATGGAATACTTTTCGCATATTGCTGCGACATCTGGACAATGAGGGCCACGTTGTATACGACGAGATACGAGAGTGCCAGGAAGATTGTGACAGAAATGCATGGTGGATGTGACGGCCCACCGGCCACCTCATCACTTGTTTGCTGGAGTGTCACTGCGCACAATGGCGGCTCGGGTCTGGGCGGCCAAAATTCATTCGGCTCCGTTCTAATTCAGCGTGGAATGGCCGGTTAATCTCGATTGTTTTCGCCGGCACATGCCATTGATCGCGCTATTCTGAGCCGTCACCCGCTCATCTTGCCAACACGATGCCAGCTCTGCAAACAGGGAGCTCGGTCTCGCGATGCTGCCCAGAAACCTGCTCCAGTCCGCTTCGGCATCGTGAAGTGAAACCAACGGGTTTTCTTGCAAGCGGTGGCCCAAACCATCAAATCGACCCGGACCATCAGCTCGTTGCCAACTGAAATTCCCAACGAAATGTCTGCAATGGACGGAGCCAAGAGGCACATAATGGGAGCAATACTGCCGTAAATTCGATGCCACTTCTCGCCCATGTCCCCGAGCATAAGGTCTGAATATGTGCACGGTTACCTGAAATATGCCTCATTTTCTTCGTGTTTTTGTGCTAAAAATATTGCTACCAAACACCGTCAAGGATACAAGATATTATCAGATACTGCCATGTTTAAGCGCGGTGTGGCGCACAGCCCAGTTGCTTTTGCTGCACGCGCTCTTCTGGGCCATACGGGCGTCTGGAGGGCCAAGAGTGGCCTCCGTTTTGTCTCAGATCGGCCGCCGTCCCGGCCACTCACAAGCGTCCACACTTGGACAGTCCTCCGCCGGTTTTTGGCCGGAGTTATAGGGCGTCGTCAAAGACGCCCGGAACGGTACGAGCCCCGGGACGTAACGACTCTGCCTGTCGTTGTCAGATAATGGGGAAACTTTAGCGACTGTTGAGAGCTGAATCTCCAATGGAGTGGCTATTTAAGGAGGCAGATTCCTTGCAGTTTTGTAGCCGGCTGCAGCAGAACGTTGTATCACGGAATCCCCGGCGAAATCAGGGAAGGCGCTGAGTTGTAAGCGATGCCGGGCCGAAGTTCTGGAAGGTGATGCTATTCACCCAGGCTGCCGGTGGCCGCAGGGAGCGTTTCATCTGATGCTGGCTTAAATTGTGTTTCACTCCGGAGCTGACGGTAATGTATCCATGCGCCCGAAATTTGCCTACCAGGGCACGGCGAGGCATCGAATTGTTCGCTCGTTAGACGTATTGCAGCTGTGACCGGGCTGGGGTGGGCGGCCGCGGCCACGGGACTGGTGCGCAGACGGGGCTCACGTTCGTGGCGCCGTGTCCGGCTGCCTCCCCCCCCCCCCCCCACACACACACTCTATCTGCAGCAGGCGCTCACCGTGAGCCGCGCAATGGGGCCTTGAGGTGTACCGTGACCGCTCAGATGCGCCGGCACGCGGGCAGGAAGGGCAGGCTCTGGTTGTCCGTGCCCAGCCGACGGTCAGAGGAAGCCGCCGGTGTCCTGTCTGGCGGCCGTGTTCCTTTGGGCCGGTGCACACCAGTTCCTCCACTTTTGGCTCATGCTCAGAGCAGATGCAAATGTCGCGGAAAGTTTTGGTTTGGGTAGTTGTCATATCTGCCGAGCTGGTGTTTGCTCTTTTGCATTGATAGGAAGTCTCAGGATTGATTTTTGCTCGATTTTGGTAAATGTTGGTAGGCTCTAGTTTCATCCTCTGTTGGAGAGAGAGAGAGAGAGAGAGAGAGAGAGAGAGAGAGAGAGAGAGAGAGAGAGAGAGAGAGAGAGAGAGAGAGAGAGAGAGAGAGAGAGAGAGAGAGAGAGAGAGAGAGAGACGGAGACGGAGACGGAGACGGGAGACGGGAGACGGGAGACGGAGACGGGAGACGGGAGACGGGAGACGGGAGACGGGAGACGGGAGACGGGAGACGGGAGACGGGGAGACGGGAGACGGGAGAGAGAGGAGAGAGAGAGAGAGGAGAGCGGTTCAGTTGTGCTGCTGGTTTCCCGTTCGGCCGCCGTTCTATTTGCGCAAAGGTGTGGGCATCGATGGTGTCGTATTTATGACCGTCGGTAGATAAGTTGCCCATATTTGCCTGTTTTCCTGCCGACCCTCCTTTTAATGGCCCGCCGCTTGTTTGACGTGCTGATTTTCCCGTGACCTTAGAGCCGCATACGACCCGCATAACACGTCTGCTCTCGGGCGTTGTGGCATCTAGTGCGGTCGCTTATGTCGTCCCATGCGAGTACTGATCGCCCTTAAAGCAGGCGACGAGATCACGTTTAAGCGGGGCGTCGCAAACGTACAGCGTGGGCGAGTCTCCTCTGTGAGGGCCGTCGTTTGGACCACGCCGCTTGGGTCGCCCTCCTCGTCGACGCTCCCCTCCCACCGCATCGTACTTGGTCGCCCGCTATCGTGGCTCGCATCCGGTCAGGTCGCACCGAGGTGTTCCTGACCCCCCTCCCCTCCGCCTCTCTCCAGACGTTCGACAGGTGCCACATCGGCGCCACGCACGAGCCAGACGAGGAGCGCGTCTTCTGCGGCCAGATGTCCGCCGTCTACCTCTTCTCGGAGGCGCTGAATGCGCACCAGGTGTGCGGCATGCACCGGCTCGGCCCCGGCTACAAGGTGAGAGCTCTACCGCTTCCGAGAGTCGCTGAGCGCGTGACAGGCGCGGGGCGGTGCGCACGCCGTGTGATCCGGGCTAGACTGGGGAAGATGACGTGCTCACGTGCCCTCGAAAGGCGCACCGGAGAAGGAAATGAAACAGTTTGTCTGGAACGCGCGGGCTGCATTCATGTGGTGAAGGCATGGACGTCTCGCTTTTCAGTTTTCGGTTAGTTTGTTGGGTTACCTCGGTCGTCAATGAAGTCAGATGGAGAAGTTCGTTTCAAGTGGCGTTGCTGGCACGAAACAGCATTTACTTCCAGCACAACTGGCGTTGTCTGTCTCATTTTCGTATGAGATGATCACTTTTTCACCACGAAAGGGCCCGGCTCGCGCCGGCTCGAACAGGTGACCGAGACTCACGCACGCATCGGTAGCGACCACTTGCCTGCCCGTGCTCGAGCCTTATCCTATGGCTGGTTGCCGCGTGTCCACGCGGCGCCACGTGCCAGTGCGTCCGTGTCCACGATCGATGTGGTGGAAAGGCGCGAGCGGACGGCCGGTGCGGGCGCTTCTCTGTTTATTCTGCGCCGTTCCGGCCGTTTGGCGCGGCCGCCGCTCCACTCAATACCTAGTCCATCGGCCGCCAATCGATGCGATGCACTGCGGCAATTACCGGCCAGTGCCGATGGCGCTCAGATGGAGAGTATTACCAGCTGAGCGGGCCACTTACACGGCCCCCTCCCCCCTCTTCCCCTCCCCCTCCTTCCGGCTGGGAAGCGCGGACACCGGTTAGCGTGGTCTCGCAAGGTTTCGCTCCAAGAAACCACTGCGCGTGTATGGTGACAGGGCCTGCGCAAATATCGCACTCTTTCCCAATTTATATTCTTCTAACCGCTGCAAGTCGTTATTCTGTTATGGTTGTAACAGCTTGATGAAGGGTGCTGTAAGGCTGACAGTTATTGTACGCGTAATTCTAACTTACTGAGGCTTGCGATATTCGCTTCACAAAGCTGAGAAAGGCGTGATTCTGATGTGCTGTCGAGTCCACACCCCATGGTCGTCTCCTGGACTGGTGGCCTCCCGAGAGTCCCACACCACGCGGGGCTGTCCTCGCCCTGACGCGTGCCGGGGTGAGGTCGGCCGCCGGCTCGGCGAGGGGCCCGCGGGTCCCCACGCCAGCCGCCTCAGGCCGGGTCGTGCGGCCACAGCCGGGTCGCCCCGTGGAGCCGACCCGGCTGTGGCCGCCCCGGTCTGGCTAGCCCCGGTGTGACCGGGGCTGCTCGGTCCTCGGAAGACCCTAGCGGACCGGAGAGGGACCCACGCGGAGGCGAGACGGAGCCACGCCGGGGCAACGCCCGGCCGGCCGCGTCGCAGTCCGGACCTGTGAGGTGATTCCCGGCCAGGGGGAGGGGGCAAGCCTGATATCGCGTCTTTGGTGGGCTGCTGGTAAGGTCCGCGACTTCTACCAGCACTTGGTTGAACATGTGATTACCTGCATTATCGGTTAAAGGCGGCTTTTCAAGCCACCCTGTACGCTGGTCGATCGAATCACGTGCTGTTCGAACGGTCTTCAGAGGCCCACAGGTGTTCGCTGCCATTGAGCCTTCTGTATGCGATCAAATTGGATCTCTTGCCAAGGCGAGTGCTGTGCTTTAATCCAGTGTGTTTACGCCTCGGCGCTGTAGGGGCACCGTGGTGTGTCGAAGCGTCGTTTCAAAGTAAATGGAGGCTGGTGCTGGAATCCACTCGGGCAGAATTGATTCCGAATCCGAATCTGAGTCAAAGCGAATGTTGACAGTTGGAATTTAATTCGAATCTGACGCTAGCGCAGCAAAAATTTCCGAATTCGATACCGATTCAAGTTTTTGTCGAACAACAGGCGGTGGGATGCCGGCAGTGTAGTGGTTAACAACCGCTGCGCGTCTAGGAAACCAGAAGTACGGGGTTCGATTCCCCGCGGTGCCCGCCCCCCCTGCCAGGGTGAGAAGCAGGCGATGCCATATAACTAGTAGCTGGGTGCGTCGTAAAGCCCCAACGACAGACACAGCAGGCGGTAAATTAATGCGCATGATGCATCATGCACAAAGAAACGTACACGTAAGAAGTGTGTGTGTGTGTGTGTGTGTGTGTGTGTGTGTGTGTGTGTGTGTGTGTGTGTGTGTGTGTGTGTGTGTGTGTGTGTGTGTGTGTGTGTGTGTGTGTGTGTGTGGTGTGTGCGTGCGTGCGTGCGTGCGTGCGTGCGTGCGTGCGTGCGTGCGTGCGTGCGTGCGTGCGTGCGTGCGGCCATAGATATGGCTCAATAGGTATCGCAGCTTGTCAATCGGTTGCAATGGATGCAACAACGCACAGCTGCTATCATGTATTTATATGAAGGAACAGGAACACAACGGCTTTCTGATTAAGCATGATGCCTTAATGCATACATGCTCATATATCTGGGAACTGAAGGCGTCGGAAGTCCAAGGTATTAGGACAGACTTTGCTGCCTTACAGGCCATGAAACTTGTGCAGTAGTAGGTTAACTTAACGCATAGATCTCAGAGACTGGCACAAACATTTTGTGAATCGCGTAATTTCAAAGCGGAATCCATTAATTGCTGATGCGTTCACAAGCCATGTGAATTAATTCCGAATCCAACGCAGCGTACGAAGTGGAATCCTAATCCGATTCAGGCCAGAACGAGCCCAATTACCGAACCAGATTCGATTCTTCTGGAATCAAACGCAAGTCTGACAAGCAGTGCCTAGTCTGAGCATGAAGCTGCTCATCAGCGGTGCAGGCGACAGAGGAGCGCGGCTGGTTGGATCGCTCGGCCACCGCCGCTGGTGGGAAGGTTGTGGGTTCGGGCCTGGACGGGAGTCCGGTGTTCCGTCGCTCACCGCGGCCGTCGGCGTGGCAAACGCGGACGACAGGTGACCGGAGAAGGTGGACGCGTCGCTAAATCATCCGAGCATCAATCTTTGGCCCATGCAGCGCGGGCTTGTCTCCGACTCGGCACCAATTAGGCCCGGAGTCGCAATGGGCACTCGCAAAATGATTGATCAGCGCCCCGAGATGGGATATTACCCCAATAGCTCCGCTCATTTGTCTCCTATCGACAAGCGATCGCAGCGCGCAGGACGCGTTTGACCGAGCTGCTGCCGCCGGTCGCGGCGGGGACGTCGTCGTCCAGCGCTCCCCCTCCCCCGCGGGCACGTGGCGCCACGTCGCACCGCTCGGCAGTGTGGGGTGCCGTCGCCCGCCGCCCGTCGCCCGCCGCCCGTGCCAAATCAGTCGGCATCCGGCCGAGGCGGCGCCTCATTACCGGGGGCCGGCCGGCCGGCGCGGCGGCGGCGGCGGCGATCATGCACTGGGATGTGCTGGCTCCACCGACGACCAGGGACGCGGTGGATCGGGAGGATGGTGCGGTCCGCCAGAGGTGTGGTCTGCCATCGGATCACTCGGCCCGTGGTTCGAACCCCGATTACACTGTCGCCCTTGAACGCTCACATGGCCTCTACAGTCGCGGGCGATTCATAACAGGGGCGTGGGGCAACGTGCGTCGCGTTCTCATTTATTCAAGCATAGCTGCGAAAGGTGCTGGATGTCATCCGTTCACTCCGCCAGGGGTACTGTATGCCATCCGTCCACTACGCGAGTGGTGGAGTTTACCATTTTTTTTCGTCCACTCCGCCAGTGGTGCTGTATACCACCCGTCCACTCCGCCAGAGGTGAGGTATACCATTCATTCACACCGCCGGTGGTGCTGTATATCGTCCGTTCATTCCGCCAGTGGTGCTGTATACCACCCGTCCACTCCGTCAGCAGTGGGGTATACCATTCATTCACTCCGCCAGTGCCGCTGTATACCTCTGTTCGCTCCGCCAGTGGTGCTGTATATCATCCGTTCATTCCGCCAGTGGTGCGTGCCAGAGGCGTAGTTTCCTATCCAGTTGATGAAACTTCATCCCTCCTCCCAACTCGAACCTCAGGCCCCCCCCCCCGAACTATCCCTTCGTTTGTTTTTTTGGGGGGTGGGGGTAAAATTACATAATTTTCACCGTTCAGTTCCTAAGTCATTTTGCAAAAGTATTTCGCACCTTCGCTGTCTTCGCTGGTGCGGTCTGTCATCTGCCCAGTGCTCACGCCGCCCATTGCGGACGATAGACCGCACCGATGATAATCCGCCCAGTGCGGCTGATAGACCGCACTGTGGATAATCCGGACAGTGTGGCACCGGCCTGATCTGCCGTACCCTCACTCAATCAGTGGTATCCGCTCACTCCTCCAACTCTGTGGTGCGGTGGCGTACAGAACGGCCACGTCGAAGGGGTTCGGTCTGTGACCGTTCCACTCCGCCACCGGATTCGTTGTGTCGCCCTTCCCCCGCAGCTGTGATCACTGACCACTCACGAACTGAAGAGCTGTCTGCGGCTGACTAAAAGGCGCTCGCGACTGTTTCACGTTTCCGTCATCAATCGGCACAATAGCAAAGCGACATCCGAGTCGATGCCTGGCGGCCGGCGACGCTGCGTGTACGTTGAGAGCGGTCAAAGGCGGTGTGCATGCAGGAGCGGAGAGCTATTGGCGTCTGGGGAATGGGTCGGCTGTGTGTGCCGTGCCGGTCGGCCCCCCGCTGCAGCCGTGTTTGTTCAGTGATTTCCTAGGGCGTGGTTCGGTCATTCTACAGACGCGAGGCTTTGTTTAGCTGCATGCGATTGACTGCTGCCGTACTCCGCAACATTGCTACTGCAGGCTTTTGGGACCGCCCGGAGTCGTCGCGTTGCGCCGGACGCCCCTCAGATATTTCTGTAAATGCTTCTGCACATTGCCTTCCATACTGATACTCCCAGTGGTCTTCCTTTGCTATTTGCATTCGCGTCGAGCTTCTCCGCACGGGGCCAATTTTCCTCGATCAAACACCAACGTTACCTTGTGGTGCACGTGGACGCCAAAGGCTGGCGGCAGCGAGCGGCGCTGAGGAGGCGGCGGCCGACTGGCCGGCCGGCCGGCGAGTGCCGCGGGCCGTCGCCGCCCGTGAGCGGCTGTATCGGAGAGCAGCCTGATCCGGAGCGCCATCATCGATCGCGCCGCCTGGCCCGACGGGCGCCAGGGTCGCCCCGGTCCGGCCCGGCCCGGTCCGCGGCCCGCCGCCGATGTCGGCGCGGCGCGGCCATGGCTCAATCACCGGCTTTGCCCAGCGGCGACTCGGGAAATGCCACCGCGACCGGGAACTGGGCGGGAGAGGGCTCGCCGCTGCGCGGGCTGTTTTGCGGGCCGAGTCGAGTGTGTCATTAGTGTGGTGATTTATGCCCGCCTGTTATTCGGTGCGTGCTGCCTTTGCAGACTGCTCTTGTGTCGCCGCTGTGGATTGTTTGTGAAGCCAGTTCCGACGTGATCTTTGTTCTGTATTTGAGATTCAGCTCGGGCCTCCGGGCCGAGTAGTGCTGACAGAGTCGTCATCTCGCCGGTCGTGTGTCGGCAGAATACGGCATCCTGTTGTGTAGTGTTCACGGTCCGTTTCGACATCGTGTGTGCGAGGCTGTCCCCACATCCTTCCCGTATCGCGCTGGCAGAGGCAACCCCCAGTGTGTCTGTCTGTCTGTCACAGGCCGCCTGTCGTGTTTACAGAGCCAGTTCCGGTTCGAGGCGGAGAGCAACGACCGCCTGTCAGAGAACCACAGACGGGTGAGTGAAGGCCGTCCCGTCGCCGCCGCCGCCAGCCCGGCACCGGACCCCCGGCGCGCCCCGTACCCATGGCTGACGTTACCACCCCCTCCCCGCCCCCCCCCCCCCCCCCCCACCTGACACCAGGCGGCACCGAGGAGCTGAGAGGGTCTGAGCTCGGCCGCGCCCGAGGGGGAGACGGGGCCGAGCCCTGCGCCGGGGCTCATGACGGCGTCCAGAGCGCTGCCCGGCCGGCGGGCGGCCCAAGTACAGCCGCCGACGTCCCGTGTCGTGCCGAGTGGCGCTGCGGGGGCGGCGAGTAATGAGCCGAGCGACGATAGGCGGGGGCGGCGCGGGGCGGGGCAGGAGCAGCGGCTCCTGCTGGCGTGCAGTCGGTGATAAGGATTGTGCTGGCGTGTGTTTGGTTTGATTGAGCACATAGGGGAAACACGGCCGTGTGATGCACGGCACGTACGGTTATGGCATACGTGTTCAGTGATAGTTCATGGTGTACCCTGCTGGTGCTGGTCTCTATCTCGAGACGGCCCGGTGTTTTTTTTTACCCGTTGCAAGTTCATCTGGATTGCATGTTGCGTGTGACTCATTGTACACATCCCTCACTTACTTGAGATACGGGTGAGGATTGTGTTGTACGCTCTGACGCTGTCTCCCTCCACTAAGCTGGTTATTTCTAGGTGCGGCCGCCTAACTCGCCCCCGCTCCTCCGCGCCCAGGTGCTGTACGACGGCAAGATGTCGGCGGCCATCGTGTTCATGTACAGCGCCGCCGCCACCGACGGCCAGCTCTGCCTGCAGTCGGCGCCCAAGGGCAACCCCTCCTACTTTGTCCACTCGGCACACGGCCTCATGCGCCAGGCGAGTGGAGTGTCTCGCGCTTGCGCTCGCTCTGGGCCCAGTCACACGGATGACAGGCACGCCCCCGTCAGCTTATGACGTCGCGAGGAAAACACGCCCGCGCCGGCCGAGAAGCGAGTCACAGCGCTGGCGCACGGACTGTGAGCACGTCACACGCCCTTGGAGTCCCTGAGAGGGTCTCTAACTGGACTTGGACTTCTCCGTACCGCCGGGCTCACTCTCGAAGAGACTCTGGGAGATCGTCCGAGTTTTGCATCACAATTGGCATAATAGTGCCAGCATTTGAGCAGAATTGGTGGGACGGCGCGAAATGGCAACGGTGCTCATTTCTCATTCCGAGAAGATATGCTGGGTGCTGTCAGGAGACAGCGCGGCATCGCACACGGTCTGTTCGTGCCTCTCGGGGAAGAGAGCGGTACCAGGGACGGCGACCGGCCGCGCGGGCGTGGAGTGGGGGACAAGTGAAGCGCGGTGAGACGGTCTCGCTAGAGCCGCCTGCACGCGGGTGTGGGGTGGGGGACGAGTGAAGCGCGATGGGACAGTCTCGCTAGAGCCGCCTGCACGCGAGTGTGGGGTGGGTGACGAGTGAAGCGCGATGGGACGGTCTCGATAAAGCCGCCTGTGCGCGGGTGTGGGGTGGGTGACGAGTGAAGCGCGATGGGACGGTCTCGCTAAAGCCGCCCTGCACGCGGGTGTAGGGTGGGTGTCGAGTGAAGCGCGATGGGACGGTCTCGCTAAAGCCGCCTGCGCGCAGGCCGCCGGCGCGGTGATCCCCGTGCTCCGCGAACCCGACAGGCCATGAATCGTCGGACATAATTAAGACCAGCTCGGAAGCTGGCCGGCCGCGGGCCGCCGCGGGCCACTGCGGGCCGCCGCTGCTCAGGGTTTCTCCGCGCGGCCAGGTCGCCTGCCGCGCCGCGGCTACAGCGCACCCCTCCCGCCGGTTCGCGCGGTAGTGTCGAACGCTGCGGCAGCGTCAGTCATGGAGGCGCCTTCTGCGGCAGCGGGAAATATCGTAACTCGACACACCGTGACCTCGGAAGCAGTGGGCGGCCTCTGAAGTTGGGGGCGATGGCTCCCGTGCCGTAAAATTGCGTTAGTTTGGCGATGGCTCGGACGTCGTCTTTTCACTTAAGACCTTCACTTAAGTGCCTTCTTTGATTAAGCCAGACTCTGCCGAGTCACGATCGGCCGCCGTATCGGTCCGTTGTGAATCACGAACGGTTGTAGATTGCCTTTATCTTTAGTTTTGCGTCACGTGTCTCAGTCCCGACCCGTGGAGCAGAGCTACACGTGGGCGACCTGTCAAGCAATCGAGCTGTGATTGTTTTGCGTCACGTGTCTCAGTCCTGGCCCGTGGAGCAGAGCTACACGTGGGCGACCTGTCAAGCAATCGAGCTGCGATTGTTTTGCGTCACGTGTCTCAGTCCTGGCCCGTGGAGCAGAGCTACATGTGGGCGACCTGTCAAGCAATCGAGCTGCGATGTTTTGCGGTCACGTGTCTCAGTCCTGGCCCGTGGAGCAGAGCTACATGTGGGCGACCTGTCAAGCAATCGAGCTGCGATTGTTTTGCGTCACGTGTCTCAGTCCTGGCCCGTGGAGCAGAGCTAACACGTGGGCGACCTGTCAAGCAATCGAGCTGCGATTGTTTTGCGTCCACGTGTCTCAGTCCTGGCCCGTGGAGCAGAGCTACATGTGGGCGACCTGTCAAGCAATCGAGCTGCGATTGTTTTGCGTCACGTGTCTCAGTCCTGGCCCGTGGAGCAGAGCTACATGTGGGCGACCTGTCAAGCAATCGAGCTGCGATTGTTTTGCGCTCCACGTGTCTCAGTCCTGGCCCGTGGAGCAGAGCTACACGTGGGGCGACCTGTCAAGCAATCGAGCTGCGATGTTTTGCGTCACGTGTCTCAGTCCTGGCCCGTGGAGCAGAGCTACACGTGGGCGACCTGTCAAGCAATCGAGCTGCGATTGTTTTGCGTCACGTGTCTCAGTCCTGGCCCGTGGAGCAGAGCTACATGTGGGCGACCTGTTCAAGCAATCGAGCTGCGATTGTTTGCGTCACGTGGTCTCAGTCCTGGCCCGTGGAGCAGAGCTACATGTGGGCGACCTGTCAAGCAATCGAGCTGGGCGATTGTTTTGCGTCACGTGTCCTCAGTCCTGGCCCCGTGGAGCAGAGCTACATGTGGGCGAACCTGTCAAGCAATCGAGCTGCGATTGTTTTGCGTCACGGTGTCTCAGTCCTGGCCCGTGGAGCAGAGCTACATGTGGGTGATCTGTCAAGCAATCGAGCTGCGATTGTTTTGCGTCACGTGTCTCAGTCCCGGGCTGGGGAGCATAGCTACACGTGGGTGATCTGTCAAGCAATCGAGCTGCGACTGTTTTGTGAAAATATCGCCGTCGTTCGTGGCTCTCCTATCCATTTAAACTGAGAGTATCTATGTTGAGGCCGCAGTTTTTACGTCAGGTATCCTTGTCACGCCCTGTGGATGCTTCAGAATAGCCACGGGGCGCAAAGCTGCCGCGCAGCGATATGGTTTGAACGTGAGCCATGTCTTCGCTTCTGTTCACCGGGCCTGGCCAATGGCACGTGCTTTCCGCGTGTATCGTGTTCGCGTTCGGAAGCCGTCCGTGCTCCTGTGTCGTGACGGCCCCCCCCCCCCCCTCCCTCCGTCTGCAGGACGTGTGCGCCGTGGTCACGCACTCCATCTACGCGACGCTGAACGCCATCGGCGGCATCCAGGTGCTGTTCCCGCTGTTCTCGCAGCTTGACTTGCCCGTGGAGGCGGGCGTGGACGGCACGGAGGGACGCCGCGACCCCAACCTCTGGTGAGAAAGGGGGAGGAGGGCAGAGCGGTGCGCGGGTGGGACCGCCACCCCCAGCGAGGGAACGTTCCTCAACAGGGACCCTCACTCTGTGAGAGAACATCCCCAAGGGGGCGCCCTAACCTGGGGCGATGCAGCTGCTCACCGGGAACGGAACCCCAACCTTTGGTGAGGTAGTAGTTATCAACGGGGGGGGGGGGGGGTGGGCTCCAACCTCGTGTGAGAGACCGCTTCCTCTCGGATGCGATCCCAGTCTCGGGTGCAGTAACGCGTCTGGAACGACACGGCCAGGCGGTCTGCGCTGTGCGAGGGCCCTTGTTTTCATGCGGTCACCAGAGGACGCTTCATCGACGCGAATGCACTGCTGTGGAGTGTTACCCTGGAAACTACAGGATTACTGCCATAAGCTCCTTTCCGTCGGTTTTGCTCGGGAATAATGCATTTGTGCCACGCAGGCGGGCCGGGGTCGATGCTGAGTCAGACGCCGCCGTGTGCGCCGCTGTAATGATTGTGTACATGCGACTCGTGCATTCAAGCCGCCGGGACTGGGGGTATTTGCTCAGTCACGTGTCAGCAGAGCGGCACTTGGCTGTCGTCGCGGGCCCGTGATCGCGCCCAATCTCGGGCTGACCACGTCGTGCAGCCAGTTTGTGTCGTAACATAAGTTACGTTCTCGTCGCGTGTGGTGCTGTCCATCGGCATATGGCGCCGATGCCGCCTGGCTCGTTGCCGACGTCACTCTGGGTTTTCGGAGGCCATCGATCAGTTCGGGCGCTGTCGCGCGCTGTGCCCTGGCATCGCATGGGCCGCGTGAAACACGCAGCGATGCCATTAACGTTGCTTTGAACTCGGAAAATAAGTTAGGCGCAATGCCAGGCGCCGGTCGATTTCTGGAGGACGTAGGAATACAAACATTACCACAGACGTTCTGAAGGCTTGTGATTGTCAAATCGTCTCAGTGATTGAGTTTATGTTGACGCTACGCAAATGATTAGTAAAGTTCATTATGTATATATATAATGTTCAAATATTCAGCGAATGCGTATTCATTTGAGGCACCCGTATCGTAAACCAGTTGAATGTGCCGGACTAAGATGTGTTTTTTGTCATTACGTTGTGATATCAGTATCCGTCCGGTACCGTGGAGAAGGACCTTCTTTCGCGCTGCTTATGCCGAGACAAATGTGATGGGAACTTTCAAGAGTGTTGCGTGCGTTCTGGAACGAAACGATAGCTGGCTATGATGTTGCTAAATGTCAGTTTTATATTCCGTTTGCATTGCAGCACGCATTTCCCGCATTGTCGTCATAGGTGGCTAGATTTCAAACTGCATTTATGCACATATTCACTTTGCATCTCTAAATAATCATAACCCTTGAAAGGTGCATTTTCAGTTTTGTATATACTTATCAGATCACACACTACGATCACGTAGATCCAACGTGACTTCGCATCGCTAGCCTTTAATTGTCTTCGAGATCGTGCGCTTCTTCATCGCTTTGACGCCGACTTCGGAACATAACGGTCTCAACGGTGTGAGCGAATGTGATTCGGTTCACCAAGAAACACGCACGTGTCGTGTTGAGCCAGCTCGCCGCGGGCGGCGTGCGCCATGCACCAGCCCGACCTCTGGCCCTCCGCCGGCAGCGCTACGTTGCTGGGCTTCATCTGCGAGCTGGTGGAGACTTCGGCCGTGGTGCAGCAGCACATGCTGCAGTGCCGCGGCTTCCTGGTCATCTCGCACCTGCTGCAGCGCACCAACCGCGAGCACATGAACGACCAGGTGCTCAGCGTGTTCCTGCAGCTCTCCAAGTACCTGGTCACCTGTCCCGGCACCAACACCGAGCTGCTGCTCAAGCAGGTGGGCGCCGGCGCCGCCGACCGGCCCGGCTCGTGACGTGGGAGGCGAACGGTTAGCACGCGCTGTGGTCAGCCGGTGGCGTGTTGCTGTGTTGTGTGGTCTTCCAGGCTTCGTGGTTTTCTCGGCTTCCCGACAGCGATGGTGGGCAGGTTTGTTTCAGTGCTACGCCCTTTGGATTGGCCTAGGTAGCGATGCACTCCCAGTGTTGTGCCGAAGTAGGGTAGCATTGTCAGTTATGTACTTGTCCACCCTCATTGCCGTTTACCCTCTCCACCACTCTCATGCTCTCCCCGCCAGCGCGACAACCCGCCCGCGCTCCTGTGCGGCTGGCGCGGTGTGCGTGCCGCGTGTGTTCCGCTCCGTCGCGCCTCACCCCAGTCCCGCGTGCCGCCGCCAGCTGCTGGACCACGTGCTGTTCAACCCGGCGCTGTGGGTGTACGCGCCGGTGGGCGTGCAGACCCGGCTGTACGGCTACCTGGCGTCCGACTTCCTCTGCGACACGCACATCTACAACAGCGTACGGCGCGTGTCCACCGTACTGCAGACGCTGCACACGCTCAAGTACTACTACTGGGTGGTCAACCCGCGCGACAAGAGCGGCGTCACGCCCAAGGCCGTCGGTGAGAGACGCGGCAGGGGAGGGGCGTGGTCACCATCCGCCCTGGACGGCCCTGGCTGGGGGTTGGCAGGTGCCGCCGCCGGGCGGGACAGGTGCTCGGGTCGTCACCGGCGCGGCGAGCTCGTGTTGTTCAGCGCGTGGAGCAGAGCTCGGGGGGGGGGGGGGGTTGCGTCATTAATTGGCGCAGGGATCAGTATTGAAGTGATGGTGCCATCGCCGTCAGAGGTACGCTGTGTTGTGCCATGAATCGAGACGGCCGCTTGTGAAAGCGTTCAGCTGGCCTAAACGGCCGTCGATCATATTTAGGAGCGGCCCGGCCAGCCCGGATCCTGTGCTCCGCTGTGCGCGTGTGCCGGCGGACCCGGGTCACGTGAGCCGGGCTGCCGTGCTGGCCAGCGGTCTCCTGCGCCCGCGCCGGCAGCAGGTCACTGTCGTGCGACGGACGCTGACGGGCCGCGCTCTCGCCGCCAGACGGGCCGCGCCCCCTCCAAGAAGGACGTGCTGCTGATCCGCTCGCACATTCTGCTGTTCCTGCGGCAGCTGATCCTCATCGGCAACGGCGTCAAGGAGGACGAGCTGCAGAGCATCCTCAACTACCTCAGCACCATACACGAGGTGCGCTGTAAGCTGAGACGGCGTCACCGGACGCAGGCGCAGACGCAGGGACGGGAGGCCTCTCCGGCTCCGGCTGGTCCGACACCGCCAGCGGCTGAGGTCGCGGCCGGAGAGATCGGACTGGGCGGTGGTGAGCCCGGCGCGGCCGCTGGCGGCCTGTGCCTGCTTGACTCCATCCGGGTGGAAGTTATGTCTCTGAACTGCAGGTGATGCGTGAACAGGTGTCGAGTTCCACTGTTCGCAGCGCCGAATTTATGCATGTGAGCACGGGCCTGGGACTGCCCCCGTCGACGTGGCCCACAATGACCTTGCCTTGCCCGGTGGCATCCGTCCCGTAACGACTGACCACGACCGTCCCGCCGCCGCCGCCGCCGCCAGGACGAGAACCTGGAGGACGTGCTGCACACGCTGATTGGCCTGATGGCCGACCACCCCGCCTCCATGGTGCCCGCCTTCGACCTCAAGCTGGGCATCCAGTCGGTGCTGAAGCTGCTCGGCGCCCAGTCGCAGACCATCCGGCTGCTGGCGCTCAAGCTGATGGGCTTCTTCCTCTGTCGAAGCACACACAAGTGAGTGGTGACAGGCACGGCTGGCGGCGCAGCGCGGAGGGCGGCGTCAGAGAGAGAGCGGTGCGGCCCTTGTGATCGGGTGCTGGTCAGGGGTTGGCTCGGGGATTTCGTCCCAGATTTCCGTTCCAAGGCGACCTCCGCAAAAGGCGAAAACGTGTTATGACATCGTAGTTAATGTCATGTATCCTTTCAAACAGACCTTTATTGACAAGAAAGTGAATGGATGCCCCCAAAATTGAAGTGAAGGCGCACATTTCGGCTGAAATGAATTCAATCAAATTCAAAGAATGCGTTTTGTGCAAGTTCATTTCGTTCGCAAGCACCCGCAGCTTGAGTTATTCACTTCTTAAGGCGTGCGCTGGGTGTTGACGCGCCTCACCAGCCTCGTTGGTCGTTGCAGGCGGAAGTATGATGTGATGAACCCCCACAACCTGTACACGCTGCTGGTGGAGAAGATCCTGCTGAACGAGGAGTCTCTCACCCTGGCCACCTACAACGTGCTGTACGAGGTACGGTCTCGCCACCCGCCGCCGGAGTCGGCGCCCGTGTGACGCGGACGAGGCGGGCTGCGCTTGAATGAGTTCTGATGTGTGGTGCGCCAGGCGCCGATGCGTCGCGCGCCTGCTGCAGCGCTGCGTCGGGAGGGAGCCGGCGGAAGCCGGATACGTATGTCGGCGCCACTGCCTGGCTCCGCAGCAGGTGTCGCCATGGCACCCACCCGCCGTATATGACGGCAGCTGCCAGCGCGACTTTACATGGGACCTGGAGCTATGAACCGGCGGATTCTGACTGAGCAGAGCATGGCCCCGGGCATGCCGTGCGTGTGATGTGACGCGCCGCGTCCGCCGGCAGATCCTGACGGAGCAGATGACCCAGGGTATCCTGTACGTGCGGCACGCGGAGCCGGAAGTCAGCCACCGCCTGGAGAACCCCAGTACGTCCGCCCGACCCGAGCCGGACGGCCGGGGCGGGTCCCGACGTCCGGGCCCAGTGAGGCGTGTGCAGCACGCGTGTGTGCCAGCTCTGACGGCACCTCACACCGTCCGCGTGTCCCGCGGGTCCGCAGCACTTCCAGCAGCTGGTCGGTGTGCGTCTCTGAAAGCCAGCTGTTTGGCGCACCGCCCGGTCCGGCTTCCTTTGCGACCAGACTGATGCTGCGCTGGGGGTTTGGGCGCTAGGTTAGCGTGAACAAGCTGAGGTGGTCCGGTGACCCGAGTCGGACGGGACCCCGGACCGCGACCTCCGCCGCGGTGACCTGATGACCCGACGTCCTGGGGTCGTCCGCAGTGATCCTGAAGGTGGTGGCCAGCCTGATCCGCCAGTCCAAGACCTCGGACGGCCTGATGGAGGTGAAGAAAGCTGTTCCTCACCGACACCACGCTCCTCTGCCAGGCCAACAAGGAGAACCCGGCGCACCGTGCTGCAGATGAGCGTCTGGCAGGTCAGGCGATGCCGGCCGGCCGCCGCCGCCGTCGGGCCGAATGGAGGGCCGTGAAGAAGCTGCTTCCCGAAATGGCACATGCCATCTGCTAAAGCGTCGCCTGCATTGTTTGCGAGACGTGCATTGTCCGGCACCGCTCGCGGTGTGGGCTGCTCCATTCATGTGCCGCGGCACCCTTTCAGATGTCGCGAAAGTCATGGTGATGTCAGAGAATGGCGCCAAATGCCAGGCCAGTTGCGATGCGAGTGAGCGAGAAATGACCCGTGACCTCTGGCCTCTCAGGCCCGCCCCGTTGAACAAAGCTCCGCTCCCCTCCCCTCCCTCCACCCCCACCACTGCCGGCCGTACGGCTCCGAGCTCGGAGATTGACGTGATTGCGTTCAACGGCGGGGCGCCGAGTGCCGTCGGCCAGCCGTCGGCCGCGACGCCGGTCTGGAGACGAGGTCGGCCCGGCTGACCGCCGTCCGCGGCTGTGCCGGCAGGAGTGGCTGATCGCCATGGCCTACATCCACCCGCGCTCGGCCGAGGAGCAGCGCGTCTCCGAGATGGTGTTCAACCTGTTCCGCATGCTGCTGCACCACGCTATCAAGGCCGAGTACGGCGGCTGGCGCGTCTGGGTGGACACGCTCGCTATCGTCCACTCCAAGGTGAGCTCAGGGCGGCCGCTCGCGGGGTGGAGGAGTCCAGGTGGCGATGGGGTGCTGCTTTGGGAGACGGCACGGTTTGTCAGGAGACAACAATGGATGGGTCACGGCTCAAACGCGTTCCTGGGGTTTCTTCCTCAAGTAAGCGGCATTCATTTCCTGCACTCGGTAAGGTTCTTGCCGTTCACCAAACCCAACGTTGTAGACATTGGGCCGTCCAGCCGCACCAGCGATTTCTCGCGCCCCCCAGCACACAGCGCTTTCCGAGGGTGTGACCCGCCGCGATGGTTGCAGGTGTCGTACGAGGACTTCAAGCTGCAGTTCGCGCAGATGTACGAGCAGTACGAGCGGCGGCGAGCGGACAACATCACCGACCCGGCGCTGCGGCAGCAGCGGCCCATCAGCACCATCAGCGGCTGGGACAAGCCGGTGCAGGGTGCTGAGGCAGCCGTCGAGCCAGCCGGCCAGGCGCCGGCGCCGGCGGCCGGCGACGCGCCGGCGGACGGCGCGGGGGCGGACGGCGCGGGGGCGGTGGCAGAGGCGCCGCCGCCGCCACCGCCACCGCCACCGCCGCCGGAGACGGACGTGCCGGCGCAGCCGGCGGCGGAGGGCGCCGCCGGTGACGTGGAGGGGTGTTGTGGACAGTGTGGACGGTGCGGTAGAGGCTGTGGACGGCGCGAGAGAGGCTGTTGACGGTGATTCGCCGGCTGTGGACGATGCTGGGACTGCGGGGAGCGTCACGGAGGCAGCGGTCGCTGAGCCAGCGGCCGGCGCGGATGAGGAGCCGGGTCCGGCGGAGACCAGCCGCAGCTGCGGGGACGGTGCTGAGCAGCCGGACGCGGCCGACCCGGAGCCGGGCGGCGCCGGGCCGACCGACGCGCCCGCTGAGCCCGCCGACCGCGAGAGGGCGCCGATGCCGGCCGCTGAGCCGCCGGCGGAGGGCGGCGGCAAGGCGTCCGTCGTCGAGCCAGAGCCGGCCGCTGAGGAGGGCGAGAAAGAGGCAGAGACCCCGGAGCCTGAGAGCGAGCGCGAGGCGGGGAAGAACGGTGATAGCTGCGAGGAGCGCGTCGAGATATACGTGGTGTCGAAAGAAGAGAAGGTGGAGGCTACGGAAAACGGTCATCATCACGAGCCGGTCGTTGACGAAGTGGATGATGAACCAAGGGAGAGTAACGGAGGAGGTACGAAGAAGCAGAGCAGTGATGCGGTCATTGAGTCGCCGAAGAGCCCGTCGAAGACAGACGCCGGCTCTCCTGTAGCGCTCAACGGAGAAATGCCGTCCAAAGAGGTCGGGGACGTCAGGGAAGACGACAAGGTGCACGAAGACGCTAAGGCCGATCCTGGAAGTCCCGCGGACCACAAGGAGACCAGCTCCCACGAAACACAAGGGAAGACAGCGACGCTCGCGAGGACCCCAAGGAGGACGCGGACGCCCACGAGGACGCCAGCTCGCGCAAGAGCGGCGAGGGTATGGAGGACGCCGGCGGGGCGGCGGCGGCGGACGAGGCGAGCGACCCGGCCGGCAACGGCCGCGACGCGGCGGCGGACGCGCCGGCCGGCGTGCCCGACAGCGTCGAGGTGCCCGAGCTGAGCAGCCAGCCGGAGGAGGCGTGCGTCAAGAAGTGGAACGCCCAGGTGAAGCCGGGCGTGGCGCGCAGCGTCTCTCAGAGCAGCGGCAAGAGCGAGCGGCTCTCGCGACCAGGTGAGCTCCGCCGGTGGCTCCGGCCCGGTGACGGCGGCTTGTCCCGCCCTGGGCGGCTCGCTTCGCTAGCTCCGCCGGGCTCGTGGTTGACGGTTGCGGTGTCGTGGCTAGGGGTGGAGTTTCGCATCTCTGTGAGTGTTCCTTTCCCCTCCACGGTGGTGTTGGAAGCCCGTTTGAAACTCAACAAGTCAAAAAGTACTTATTAGTTTCGACAACGCAAGAAATACTTCATTTTGTTGAGATAAAGACTAACAAGGCACTGAGTACTGGCTTGTTAATGCAGACTTGACTTCCGTTGGTTGTATGAAACTCCGCCTCCCGTTAGTGAAGTCCATGTACTGCGTGACTGGATCGTGACCTGTGTTTTGCAGTTTGTTCCGCGTGCTTTGGCGGGCGTAACGGTCAATGGCTCGCAAGCGAACTTGCGTTGGCGAGGACCCTTTCAGCGTTATTGGCTTGGTCCGCCATCGAGCGGCTATTGGATAAGCTCACGGCTCGTAACGTCGGTTTCGGGAGCGGCTCGGGCCGAGTGACGTGCTATCGAGTGATGAGTATTTATAGTCGGCTGCCTGGCCCCTGTCGTGTTCGTACTGCCTACTGAAATCACCATTTCCGGAGCGCGCCGATGCTACCCCTCCAGCCGAAGGCCATAGCCATACCCTTCGCTGACGGCTGAATCGATATGAAGCGAGGCAATGTAATGCGTGATGGCGCGAACACGTAATGGGAGCAGGGTTGCATAGGCGGCGACGAGAAAGCGTTGTCGGCGGTGACGACCACGGACGCCGGCCGGCTGGCGCTGTCGGCAGGCTCCGGCGGCAAGGGCCCGTCACGTGCCATGTTCTCGCCGGGGCCTTCGCGGCCGCCGTTCCGCATCCCCGAGTTTCGCTGGAGCTACATCCACCAGCGGCTGCTGTCGGACGTGCTGCTCTCGCTGGAGAACGACATCCAGCAGTGGCGACAGTGAGTGGTCGCGCCCGCGCGCCGGACGGAGACGGGGAAGGGGGGGGGGGGGGGGCGACCGTGCCCCGCTCGCCGCCCGGTACCGGGCCACTTTATGTGACGGCTTTGTAGAGGGGTGTAGTGTCGATGGACAGCTTACCAATGTTTGGTCTTCACGTAGAGGTAGATGTCAAACGAGTATATTACTTGGCGCGGAGTGAAGCGTAACTTCGTGTGCGTTAGCTCGACGCATGCGTACTGGTTTTGTATCAGTTAAGTGCGCAAAGTAATGACAAAATACCGTTTCCAGGAGCATGAGAGGCTCACCTGCTGTAAGCGGCGTACGTTCTCACTAACGGTCCACCTACGCGAAGCTTTTCTGTTTGTGTCCCAATGCTCGTTCTTGGCCGGCAGGACATTCCAACAAGAGCATCCTGGACTTCGTCAACAACAGCGACAACGCCATTTTCGTCATCAACACGGTGCACCTGATCTCCCAGCTGGCGGGACAACCTAGTGATCGCGTGTGGCGGTCTGCTGCCGCTGCTGGCCGCCGCCACCAGTCCGAACGTGAGGCGCGGCGAGGGCGCTCAGCGGCCGGGGCCAGCACCTCGTAGGGACGACCCTGGGTGGCGGGACCGCTGGACGTCCCTGACATGGGGCGTCCCTGAGGGAGGTGTCCCTCGGCGAGTGGCTGAGACCAGTCGTTCCCACATGGGAGGGTCCTATTTCGATACCGGGCGGCGCGGCAGCCCCGAGGCGGTAACCGGGCGATGGTATTTGCTGGGCTTCACACGCGGATGTACCACCGCGTGCGCTGTGTTCTCATTTCTGCCGCTGACGTCATCATCGTCCGCACCGCAGTGAACAATCTCATGGCCAGACGGCATGACCTCCGCGACCCAGGGCCGCCTGTTGAGCTCTGCTGACCTGGGACATTGCTACGGGCGCTACAGGCCGATTTGTACGCGCCTCTGGCCTGCGCTGTGCGTCTGTAGAGTCATGCTACCCTCTCCATAGCCACGCCGCCCTCTCCAGAGCCACGCCGCCCTCTCCAGAGCCACGCCGCTCTCTCCAGAGCCACGCTGCCCTCTCCAGAGCCACGCCACCCTCTTCAGAGCCACGCCGCCCTCTCCAGAACCACGCCCGCCCTCTCCATACCACGCCGCCCTCTCCAAAGCCATGCTACCTTCTCCAGAGCCACGCCGCCCTCTCCAAAGCCATGCTACCTTCTCCAGAGCCGCGCCGCCCTCTCCAGAGCCACGCTACCCTCTAGAGCCACGCCGCTCTCTCCAGGGCCACGCTACCCTCTCCAGAGCCACGCCGCCCTCTCGATAGCCACGCCGCCCTCTCCAGAGCCACGCCGCTCTCTCCAGAGCCACGCTAACCTCTCCAGAGCCGCGCCGCCCTCTCCAGAGCCGCGCCGCCCTCTGCAGGGCCACGCCGCCCCTCTCCAGAGCCACACCGCCCTCTTCAAAGTCATGCTACTCTCTCCATAGCCACGCCGCCCTCTCCAGCGCCATACTACCCTCTCCAAAGTCATGCTGACCTCCCCAGAGCCACGCCGACCTCTCCAGATCCAAAGTGACCTCTCCAGACCTCTCGACTGCGGCTTTGCTGACCTCCGTCTCTGTCGTGGCCACAGAGCGAGCTGGACGTGCTGGAGCCGACGCAGGGCATGTCGGTGGACGTGGCTGTCGGCTTCCTGCACCGGCTGGTGGGGCTGGCCGACGCGCTCGTGTTCGCCAGCTGCATCTCGTTCGCCGAGCTCGAGGTGGAGAAGAACATGTCGAGCGGCGGCATCCTGCGTCAGTGTCTGCGGCTGGTGAGCGCTCGCGGCCCGGCTCTGGCCAGGCGGCGCCGGCCGGCGAAGGAGCGTCCGGAGGCGCAGACTGCTTGGTCGGGGGGGGGGGGGGGGGGAGAGAGCAGATCGTCTGAGCGGCCGTTGAAGGCGAAGTAGAGGTGTCAGTGATGTTTGCTTCGCATTTGGTTTGGGACATTTTTCAGTGTGCCTGTCAAAAACTGTTACCTCGATGTTTGTCCGCGTTGTCTGTCACTGTGTTTCATCAAAGCCGATGTTATCAGTATAACAGTTTAATGAGATTGGATAAGTTAACTATCTGTCCGCTTCCCTTCCTCCCCCATTTTCCTATTTCTTTTATTCCTCTTAGACCACGTTTAAAGGGCATCCGCTTTGATGTCACGCGACGAAAAGACTCGTTTGATATGTGCATCTGTGCACCCTTAAGACTGTCCTTTAAATCCTGGAAGTCCGCCTGTTGTGTTGCATGAAACGGTCTATGCAGCTTTGCATTGTATAGTGGTACAGGGGGCTACATTCGGTAATTGAAGAGATGCCTTGTTGCTCTCGGATGACAATTCAGAACAAGCCACATCGATTCTGGAATAGGTGGAGCTAGTGCAGTAAAGCGGAGTGGAACATATCGACCTTTGCTGTACGTAACTAGAACAGTTTGGACGACAAAAGTGCGTTCGGCGGGAGGCCAACCCCAAACCCCGCCGGTGGGTGGCGCGTGTGTCAGTCCGCGGCGGCCCTGACCGGCCTACTCTCCGGCGCAGGTGTGTACGGCAGCCGTGCGCAACTGTCTCGAGTGCAAGGAGCGCGAGCGGCTCATGCGCCACCCGGACGTCAAGCCCAACCGCACCATCCAGCTGCTTATCACCGGGCTCAAGAACGTGCCCATCCTCGCCACGGTGAGCGCCGGTCCGCTGGTCCGCCGGTTTACAGGCCCCGCCGCCGGTCCGCCGGTCCCGCCACCGGAGCGGTCTGGTTGGAGGGTTACTGCCGAGCGCGGTCTCGGTGATGAGGTGTGATGTGACCTGATGTCATGTCATGTCGTGTGTTATGATGAGGTGTGATGCTCTGAGGGACCTAGGTGTCTATTGCGAAGGGCTGAGGACTGTGTTCGGTGTTGAGCCCTCAGCTTGGCGATAGATGACCTCACGCGTCTTGATGTCGCAACGGCCGAAAGCTAGCGAGGATGGCGAGACGCATGGGAGCCAGACAATCCCGTCATCCGTTCTCACGGCAGGAGGACTGGGCCTTGGTGGTGCCCCTGTTAGAACGCACGGAAGGGTTTCACGTGTGGCCGTGCCCTGCGCCCTGCCTGAAGTCGAAGACCCATGCTCGGCAGCGATGCCCGTCCCTGACCTTGGGAGGGTGTCGGACCTGACCGTTCACTGTCCCCCCCCCCCCTCAGACCGGAGACCCGGACTCGGTGGTGACGCCCGTCCGGGACCCGGAGAAGCTGCTGCAGGAGATGGACGTCAACCGGCTGCGCGCCATCGTCTACAGAGATGTGGTGAGCAGGCCGGCGGACCGAGGGGAAAGGCCCATCACCCAGCGCGCCTCGCAGAACCCCGACTGGAACGCGAGCCATATCGCAGGTGCTCGACTGACGCGTACTCCAGGCAGTGTGTGGCATCGTAGTCAACTCTAAATTGGAAGCCCGGGCGCATGTGTGTAGCATAGGTCTAGAGAGAACTGGGTGTCAAAATTGCTCCATTGCATGATGAAATTTAAAAGCCGCCTGCCTGGATCTGCGTCAGCAGTGATGGTGTGACATGTGCAGCATCCAGCAGTAGGATGATCGCGGCCTCTTTCGGACCGGCAGGAGGAGACGAAGCAGGCGCAGTTCCTGTCGCTGGCCGGCATCTCTACTTCATCTCGGTGCTGATGGGTGTCCAAGTACCGCGACATCCTGGAGCCGTCCAACATGGTGGCCGTCCGAGGCGCGTCCGGTCAGTCGACTCCCATGAGCCGTCGGACATGTCTGGGGAGGCTACGGGAGTGCTGGGTCTCACCCGGGAGAGTCCAGCAGCTCGCCTCCGCCAGGGCGACTGCCAGGGCCTGATCCCTCCGCAGACAGGGTGCCAACTGACTGACCCAGCCAGGGAGACAACCAGGTTACGGACTGCCTCACCCGGGACTGGCCTTCAGACCTCTGGTTAGGTTCACGGGCGGACCGCCAGGTCACTGACCCTCTCCCCGACTGATCGCCAGGTCGCTGACCCTCTCTCCTGACAGACCAACAGGTCACTGACCCTTCCCCCCGACAGGTCAACAGGTCACTGACCCTTCCCCCCGACAGATCACCAGGTCACTGACCCTCTCCCCCGACTGATCAACAGGTCACTGACCCTCCCCCCGACAGATCACCAGGTCACTGACCCTCTCCCCCGACAGATCAACAGGTCACTGACCCTCCCCCCGACAGATCACCAGGTCACTGACCCTCCCCCCGACATCACCAGGTCACTGACCCTCTCCCCGACTGATCACTAGGTCACTGGCCCTCTCGCGACAGATCACCAGGTCACTGACCCTCTCCCCGACTGACCGCCAGGCCACTGACCCTCTCCCCTGACTGATCACCAGGTCACTGACCCTCTCCCCCGACTAGATCACCAGGTCACTGACCCTCTCCCCCGACTGATCACCAGGTCACTGACCCTCTCCCCGACTGACCGCCAGGCCACTGACTCTCTCCCCTGACTGATCACCAGGGCACTGACCCTCTCCCCGGACAGATCACCAGGTCACTGACCCTCTCCCTCGACAGATCACCAGGTCACTGACCCTCTCCCCGACTGACCGCCAGGCCACTGACCCTCTCCCCGACTGATCAATAGGTCACTGACCCTCTGCCTGACAGATCACCAGGTCACTGGCCTTCTCCCCGACCGACCGCCAGGTCTCTGACTTCCTGATCGTGGTCATTAACAGGTCTCCGATGCCATGTTCGTTCAGAGCTGCCGCTCGCGGATCCTCGCCTTCCAAACGTTTGAAGGCCAAACCAGACGCGCCGGTGGCCTGGGGTAATGCCGCGGATTCCTAACACACCGAACAGTACCGCAGAAAGCATTCTCATTGTCAGATGAGATCACCCCATGCGCGTGGCTGAAGTGCTCGCCGTCCTGGTTGGTCGGCGTCGGAGTGTACTGCGTTTATGTGTGTCGAAAGGACACGGCTGACATGTGGCGTCCGCCTTCGGTGTGATGACTGGAAGGTGATAACGTATGTTTTCCAGCGGCGGCGTCTGCACGGGTAAGACGCTGCGGCCATGGAGTGATGTGACTGTGCCCTGTCCCCCGCCGGTCGCGTCGTCACACGTGTCCTGTCCCCGCCGTTCGTGTTGTCTCACGTGCCGTGTCCCCCGTTCGTGTCGTCACACTACCCCGCCGTTCGCGTCGTCTCACGTGCCATGTCCCCGCCGGTCGCGTCGTCACACGTGCCATGTCCCCGCCGTTCGTGTCGTCTCACGTGCCATGTCCCCGCCGTTCGTGTCGTCACACGTACCCCGCCGTTCGCATCATCTCACGTGCCATGTCCCCGCCGTTCGTGTTGTCTCACGTGCCGTGTCCCCCGCCCCCGCCGCCCTGATGCCACCGCTGACCCGTCCCCCATCGCGCACAGCGGCGCCGGCCGGCCCCGGACCGGCCCTCGGGCGGCGACGAGCAGCCCGTCGCAGACGTGCTTGTCGTTGACGAGGGCAACCCGTCCGTTTTAGCGAACCAGGCGGGCGCGCCGCCGGCAGCCAAGGTGAGGGCCCGTCCCGCCGCCGACCCCCGGACCGTGTGCACGCGCGCCGCCCAGCCCCGAGCCGGCCGCGTCCGGCCGACCGGCGGCAGGCCGCTTGTCTCCGGCGCTGGGGACCGTTTGGGGGCCGGGGTCGTCCTCACACTCCATGCTATTGAGATAGTCCGTAGGGGGGTGATATGCCAGAACGATAGC